TCACTTTCTAACAAGGAAGTGAGCTGGTTAATCTCTCTGTCTTTGTCCTGAAGCTTTACAAGAATATGCTGGAATACAGAAAGGAGTTCATTCTTATAAAAAATTCAAAAACACCTGTTTACAGTGCAACATGCTTTTCGCAAACATAACACAAACCGAATTTTCTGTTTCCACATCAGAAAGTTTTTTCAGAAGCACGTCTTTCTGCTCTAAGAGTCTTTGTGATTCCATCTGTTATAACACAAAGCAGTATAGAAAAGTTAATAACTGTTTTAAGTACAATAAAATGTAGTTGTTTAATAATTGTTGTTTTGAATTTGTGCAGAGCAGTACCTCTCGACTATGCTGTTCTCTCAGAAGATGTCTGAGGGCTCTGTTAGTGCTCTCAAAAGTCTCCAGCTTCTGCAGCAAGAGCTCTTTCTGTCGGGTCAAGAGCGTTGAATCTGATCCTGACATCTTTTTCTCCTGGACAAAGGTATGAACATTTTTTTTATTCATTTCTGTTTCTGGCTCTTTTTCAAGATATTCTAGTTTCAAATTTTCACAAAAACCAATCAGAAATGTTTTGAAAGGTGTATTTTGCTCACACTCGGACTCCTGGACATATGGCTGACCGTTTCACGCAGGGCCGACACCTGCTTGGCGGCTGCACTGCTGTCCATCTCTGCTTCCAGCAGTTTCCTGAGTAGAACATCTTTGTCTGGCTGCAAACTGTCCCTCTCTAATCTAGACAAGAAGAAATGGTTCAAACGGAATTTTAAATTTGTTATAGGTAATAGCAAACTGTTAAAATGTCAACAATTTCATCATACCTCCTAAAATCATTCCCCTCCAGCATTTTTTCCATGGACTCCCGTAGGCGGGAGTTCTCCTGCTCTGTGGCCTCCAGTTCCCGGGCGACCTCTGCAAGCTCCTCCTCCTGCTCAGCGATGACGCGCTGTGTTGCGCTCAATCTCTCCGACTGACGCTCTAGCAGCTGCTCCTTCTTACGAAGCTCTACCTGCAAACACAAACATCACACAATTTTATTAATTTCACATGTGTACCACATTAACTGTATTATACCACACATATATATATATATATATGTGTGTCCGTGTGCAAAATAATTATATTATTCTAATTTATTTAATTTTTAATTTGAAAAATCATTTTAAATGACATTTTTATCATTTATTTATTTAAGAAATAAACGAAATTATTCAGTAAGGATGCATTAAATTGATCAAACATGACCGTAATGGTTTCCACAAAAATATTAAGCAGTACTAACATTGATGATAATAATAAATCTTAAGATTCATATTAGAATGATTTCTGAAGAATCATGTGACACTGGAGACTGGAGTAATGGCTGCTGAAAATTCAGCTTCGACATGACAGGAATAAATGACATTTTATACTATATTCAAATAGAAAACAGCTATTGTAATAACATTTCACAGTATTACAGTTTTTACTGTATTTTTTAACAAATAAATGCAGCCTTGACTGCTATTAGAGACCTCTCAAAATCATAATCACAAAAAAAAAATCTTACAGACCCGAAACTATAGTGTATATATGTGTTTAAATAGAAACAGTTTGTTTCTAATTAGTGGATGAATATTTTCTGGGATATAATTTCGCTGAAAGAAAAGAATGACAATAAAATTGCCTTTGAAAATTTTCTCCATTTCTCCAATCTCTTATTTCTCACCTCATTTTTCAGAGAGCTGACCTCTGTCATAAGGCTGTCGATTTTCCTCTCGTACTGATTGATGCGTCCATGCAGTGCCTCTTCTTCATCCATGGAGAGATCTTCTATTCGGAGAGGAGACTGGGAACATTCTGGTTCCTGTGGAGGTGTTATCTCCAGACGATGAGATGGCCCCTAAAATATACATAAATATCAAAACATCTAAAACAACAAAAATGGTTTTCTTTTCTGCATAGTGTGCACTATTTTACACAAATTGTGCACAAGCACAAATGGGAATGTATCTGTAATATTTATCTGACCTCCCAATTATATGAGGTCTCTCGTGTTGAGACCTTGCCAGGTGGGATCCATGGGACCCTCGTCTTCACCTTAGCAGTAGGATGCAAGCTACTTTTTGTTTTAACCTGGAACATAAAAGACATACATGATGAGTGATGGTTTTAAGGAACTCTAGAGTATTTCTCAGCAGCATTAAAAGATCTGAAGCTCCACACCTCTATAGACATTTCTTTATTCTTGTGTAATAATCATTGTAATTATATATTTAAGAGTATTTTGAGGATGGTTGTGTATGCAGAGACTACAAGCTTATGTTATACCTGGGCTGTCTTGGTAGGGCTGCATTTTGTGCTTTTCTTCACATGCACGTGCACAGGCGTAGTCTCGTTCACATGCACATGCAGAGGTGGGGAAGAAGAGCTTGTTCTCGTTGATTTTCTCTGCAGAAAAGAGAAATATCAATAAATAGGCCTACGTAAATTAATTTTTTTAAAACATCCAGATTGTACGACTGCTAGAACTTAACTAAGAAGCATACAATCCTGTATATCATGTAATGCATTGTCATAATAATTAATATACATTATCTAAATCACTGATAATAATTAGTAGGTGGCATGTAATATTTGTGCTCTTAAAAATTGGATGTCTGATGATCTAACAAATTTTAAAAAATGCATAATATATAAATTAAAAGGTATAAAAACACACACACTTACATTTTTTATATCACTTCAATTTTTTTGTTTTTAAAATTAAACCAGTCATAACTACACACTAACTACTCAAGTAAAGTACCAGTCTTTGTTTATAGATCAGGGAACACATGTCTGAAGGATCATTTTACTGGTCATACATCTTCAGATCATGTTTCAGAGGACAGTGCTCAAGACTATCAGAGAGGTAAACCGAGACCACCACAACAGACCCTCTTACAATCATGACTGACATCTGGCTTAATGTAAAGGTGACAGCAAATTCTCTATATGCAAGAACCTGTATGTTCATAACCATATACCACCATTACATCACAAATGGATTCAGAAGTGAATGAAAGCCAAATAGGACACTGAGCTGCAAGCTAACAGGCAATTAACCTCCTAAGGAAGCAGAAACTAGCATTTACGGCACATAAACACAAAGACAGCGAAACAGAAATGAAACCGAAATCATGAGTAAGACAGAAGCTGCAAATAGAGCAGGAGAATTGTCCATAAATCAGTAGAAGTATAGTTTGAAGATGTCTACAATACAAAGTCATTAAAACATAAAGCGAAACTTGTTTTTTTGCAAACCATCTTACCATGCGAAAATACAAACATTCAAACGTTGATACGGGTAAAATGTATATTAAAATAGTTGCGAACTACTTCAGCTTTCTTGTCATCCCAGAGTCTCGAAAACCCTTTCTTCCGGTGGGTAATCGGTCTTTCATTTGATTGGCTGATTCAAAAGGTTTCGTTGCAAGTGCGTGATCGTGATTGGAGGAAATCGCCAGACCTTGGTCAGCGTTATGTAGTACGCTGTCTATAGCAACGGTGTCCCTAGAAACCAAGCCTAACAAAGGCCCAAGCTGCAGTTGTTGTCAAGAATACAAACAAAGCTTAGCATATCTGTTTAACGACATTCCAGCGATGATCTTTGTTCGACCAGAAACTATAAACAAGCTGTGGAAATGCTATCTATTATTTTGTTACAGCGTCTGTTAATAAACCGACGCTGGTGAGCCCACAAATAGGCTACAGCAACATGTGGGGAAAACCGGAAGCTAACAATAAATTAAATTTTCTACCTAGTAGATTGTGTTTTCTTAACGTCTACACCTACCCCAACCCTAAATCTACCCCTTACAATAATGCAAAAATAGTAATTATTGTTGTCCAGTGTGAGAAAAATTACGCTATATTGATGTGCGCATGCCCAGTATTTTTTTCTGTATGCCTTCTAGCCTTAACCACGTGAAAACGTCAAGGCGCCTAAAAACCGTGAAGTTAGCTTTCAAAATAAAAGCGTCAATAAATAAATAAATAATTTTATATTTTAAAAATGTAATCTGTTTGTTTAAACCAGGGGTGCTCAAACTCGGTCCTGGGGGGCTGGTGTCCTGCAGAGTTTAGCTCCAACCCCAATTAAACACACCTGAAGCAGCTAATCAAGCTCTTACTAGGCATACTAGAAACATCCCAGCAAGTGTGTTGAGGCAAGTTGGAGCTAAACTCTGCAGGACACCGGCCCTCCAGGACCGAGTTTGGGCACCCCCGGTTTAAACCAATCAATTTTAAAATTAAAATTATAAGTACATTTCACAGTAAAAGGTATCAAAAACAAAACATCTATATAGTTTTTTGACTATATTTCGACTATAATGTTTTCCACAATATAAATAATGCTCATTTCACATCTTTGGCATCAACAAAATCAAGGTTTGCTCTTTTTACCCATAGACCGCTGAAGAGACTTGACTGGATTCTTGTGGATGTTGTTTCAAAATAAAAGTCATGCAAAGGCGTAAGTGTAAATCATGCCTAAAACACCACAAGATGGTGATAGCGACAAGTATTTAGTTTTTCATTGACACTTGTCTTTCAAAGTTTCATAAAAGCTGACACATACAAAACGAAATAATGATCTTTAAAAAAGCATCATATGACCCCTTTAAGACAAACAAGAACAACAACGTTGCCACTTGCTATTTTTACTTGATTTACATATATAAAACAAAACCACAGTATTTAACACAACAAACAAATCATTCACATAAACAATAATAAACTATAAAAGTAATATTTTAGCACTTGTAGAAGAATTAAATTATTATGATAACAGTATCTGCACGACTATCATATTTCATTTGCCAGTAATCCAAAGCAGCTTTTGAGCTGCAAATCTACCTTATCTTTCAGTAGCTGTGGATTCTGTTGTTTTGCCTGCACGATCTAATCGAACTTTCAGGCTGATTAATTATTCATCTTCACGTCATTACGGGAGGGATCCGGAGTCCGGACCCGGAAGTCAGATGTTGCTGTGTTGAGTCACCCCTGACTGGTAATAGCCAGATAGCGGAAAACAACTAGAGATGATGCTGGAGAGCTCGGCATCTTTGAACCGTCCCAGAGAGTGAATAGATGCGTTTTTCAATTAAGATATCACCTTGAGCATTTGTGCTTTACTTTACAAGACTGACGTTTTATCAAAATGATGGAAGAAATTGACAGATTTCAAGTGCCACCAGTAAATCCAGAGATGAAGCTGCTGGTAAGTATCACTCACTCTCACGACATAGAGAATAACACTGTGCACCTTTACAGGTCGTGGGAAATGACACTGTGTGAGAAGACAGTAATTCTGTATTACCTTACCCACAAACGTCAGGCACATTACCAGATGTCATCTAAATGATCGGTGGGGTTATTTAGACAAAACCGACATATCTAACTATGCTGATACTATGCCAGTTGTTATGGTACGTTACTGACATGTACCTAGTCGCGTTTATATGTTCGTAAACCTGCCTTAATGAGACAAAATAAAAGCTCTCACAACACAAGTTATATACATGATATTATTTTTGACCGACAGAAATGGCTGTTTGTTATTAGCTGTCCGATTCGTGAATATTACGTTCTTTTGAATCGGAGCTTTTCAATGAATCGGTCTGCGCTGTTTATTGAGTTTGAATCAGTCTGACTCCCTATGAATCGGACCGGAAAAGACGGTTAGGCTATTGTTCAAATGAATCGCCCAGAACCAAATGATTAAGCTCTTACTAATATCAATTGAGTGATTATATGAAATTGTTACTTTAATGAACCAAATAGCAAAAATGTTACAAATGAACTGCACTGGAATGTTTTTTTGTGGTAATATCAGGACCACGCAATGAACCAGTCCCTAAATGTTTTGATTGTTTTAAGCTTAAATTGAATTAGAATTTGTACATTAAATACAATTAAAAGTAAAATAACAAGTAAACTCTTAAAATAACACAATACTGTAGAATTTAACTTTTGTAAGAAAGCACAAGGACGGTAATTACAAACAATACAAGCCGGAAAGTACTTGACTTGAATAGATTTGAACGCGTCAGCCTAGTCAGACAGTAGTAGCAGACACATACATCTTGAATTTCCTGAATGTCTTATTTGTTTCAGAGCTTGTGTAAACACATTGATTTCCAGTGAAGTAAGTATGTTTTCATTCAGTTAGTAGGCCTGCATTATCTGGCTGGACTGAAGTGTGCACTTTAGAATATGCTGGACTGGTGAGATATGGCCCGGAGTGATAAAAGTGCTAAAGACCCAGCTGTTACCCTATACAACAAACTGTGCTTTCTCATGCTAATTCATTCTTCTGTGGGCATCCCATAGAAAAGGACATACACCCACTGCAATATGTCTCCTGTTTTTTAGAGAAGAATGCTCCTTCCTTTTATGAATTTACTAGTTATTGGCTTTCTGATTTGTTGTACCATACATAAATGAAGATGACAGTCTATTAGGTCACATAAATAAGAAAAATAACAACAATGACCAGTTTAATTTCAGAATGCCATGTGGATGAAAGGAGGGCAGCAATAACAGTTAGCTGCCACAACGCTTGTCGGTTTGCAGTGACTGTAATTTTGCCAAGTAGGCCATTTTCCAGGATCAGCATCTTTTGTTGGTTCTAGAACATCATTCCTGTTGAACAAACATTGTCCTGACACAAACCCTAACCAGTAAATACCCCTTAAATCAGTGGGAAATTTAAGAAGTAGATGAACCCATCCCATCCCTTTTATTTTATATAAATAAATAATAATATAGGGCTATATATATATATATATATATATCTCTCAGTTGGTTATTGTTGGTATTCTGATTAACCACTATCATGGTAGTCACCTTATGGATCATGCTTTGCTGTGATTGGTCCAGAGTTCATCTAGTCATATAATCCCACCAATCCTTTTCATTGCCTCAGCTGTGTCAGCATTCGCTCATCTTCATCTCCTTCATCAACCAACATCACCAAAATGCCATATTGACATGACATGTGGTCAAGAAGGGGCGTAAAGATCCTGGAGTTCAGATCATAAGATCCCACATGATGCCATTAATCTATATTTAATCTATAATATTTCCTGTTGTTAAAAGTTGACCTTCTCATTGTCATTCTTGAGGATGAACATTAGTCCTTGGGAGAGATTTTACACGAGACCTACAAGTGTACAATGTGTCAATGGATTCATCGTGGTAATCTTGTTTTTGATGTGTTTCTGTGGATGTGTGACACTTGCACTGCTCTAGATCAATGAAGACTTGCTTATGTGTTTCAGTTCCTATAGATTTCTGATTATCTTAATCTTATATATCAGCTTTAAACAATGAGACCAGAGATTAGGGTTGCATCAGATTGGGTTCTGTATGCTCTGAGGCTTGGTTTTCTCCAGTAGATCTTGCATAAATTTCACGGGCAGTTGTACATGTAGCTGGTGGGATATGCATGACTTTGATGTTGTTCTTTATGGTGTTGCTCTGAGATTTGTGTAGCCTGTGTAGTCCAACAAAGGCTGTCTGGAAAGCTCAATAACATCGGCTTACTCAACTTTGTAGTCCTTTGTAGACCACAAAGTATAAAGACAGATAGCATTTTTAAATTTATGTTGACGTGAAGCATTACCTTGCTTTGAAGGTGTATCCTGATGCTCGAAAAAATGAAAATTATTACATTGTGGACGAGCAACAGCTGGAGATAAAGATGAATCACAATGTACTTTATGCACAGCATATGATTAGATGCTTCAGGAGCTTGATGGTATCCTGTTGGGCTATTACCCACAATCCCCCGCTGGTCTCTTTATCTGGTGCTGAGCTTAAAGGGTTTGTGAGAGCCCTGCCAGGCCTACAGCTGGCACTATGCCACGACTGAATCAGTGGGCAAAGAGGTTTCCTTCAATAACAAGTCTACTTCATGTTTGTTCCACAAGTGGATTTCTTTATGATATGGGTTGTTTTTTACATCTAGTGATCCGCCAAAGGTTTTAGTATCTTTTATTTACCGCTAACATGAGCTAAGCATGTTTGTTTTGTTAATGTCAGACATTTGATATTACATTTTGATACTGATATTTGATATTGCTAATAGGTACTTAGTGGAAAAGTTCTGAAATGGTGTAAAAAAAAATGTAAATCTAGGTATATCAATGTTATTTTAGTATTATTTATATATTATGGTATGATATATTATGTTTTTATAGTAATTTTAATTTGCTTTCATTTTTATATTTTTTGTTTTCATTTTGATTTGAGTAGTTTTGCCATGTGCTATATATATGAAGAATAGGGAGAAATGTTTTTTTGTTTATCAGCAAATATATAGAGATAAAATGAATAATGTTACAAAAAATTCAGTGTCAACTTAATATAGAAATTAAATAATTTATAGATACAATTTTACACATTTATAATATTTTATTAGTAGTGTTTCATTTTTATATTTTTAGTTTTCATTTTGATTTTAGTTTTAGTAGTTTGTGTGCTATATAATTTTTTCCTTAAGTTTTATTTTTTCCCAAATATCTCTGTGTATATATAGTAGTCTATATTACGTAAATATTTTATATTATATTTTTTTTATGTTATTTGAATATATATATAAATTATGTTAATTTATGGACTCAATACTTGGTCGGGGCTCCTTTAGCACAAATTCCAGCATCAGTGAGGTGTGGCATGGAAGCGATCAGCCTGTGGCACTGCTGAGATACTATTGAGCCTTCAGCTCGTCTGTATTGTTGGATCGACTGTTTCTCATCTTTCTCTTGAAAATATCCAATAGATTCCATATGGGGTTCAGGTCAGGCATTGTGGTTTCAAAGAACAAGAGATACCCGGAATTTATACTGTAGGGATGGTCATTTAATGCAACTCAAATATAAATATTCTAATATTTTGAGATACTGGATTTTTGACTTTCATGAGTTGTAAGCTCTAATCATCAAAATTAAAACAAAGAAAAAAAACTTTTGAAATGTTTTACTTTACATGTAATGAATCTAGAATATATGAAAGTTTAACTTTTTGAAATTAACTTGTTCACGATATTCTAATTTTTTGAGATGCACCTGTATATGTGTGTATATATATATATATATATATATATATATATATCGGGGGAAAAAGTGTCAACTTGATATAGAATTAAAAACAATATTTTATAGATACAATTTTACACTTTTATAATATTTTATTAATAGTGTTTATACATGAAATGATATAGTGGCCTTTATATTTTCAGATTAAGGTTATCATCATGTTTGGGTGTCTGTGGCATCAGAAAGTTTGAAAACCCTTGTGTTTCACAATTCACATTATTCCATCTACTGACCAGATTGTTTGTTGTCTGTGGTTTGACGTTTCAGTTAGTCATCTGGTGTGTCATGAACTTCACCAAAAACATAGCATTGCTATAATCACATGGCTCTAGGGGCTCATGATGACAGCCCAGAGACTCTCAGATGGCCACATGGGCCACATCCAATAAAGGCAGGCTTTTTAGGTCATAATAGGCGCTCTGTTGGCAGAGGCAGCTTGGGTGTGCTGTCAACATTCCTCCAACAAGCTCCCTCTGTTCTGCCTCACCCCGTCTCGAATGATGTCACAGAGCACTCCGACCCTACATATTGAAGGCTGGAGCAACAAAACATGCCTGGTGTCATGCGAGCCAACTATGCAGGAAGTACCGGCCGGTTACTATGACAGCTAGAATCTCCCTCCTTTCATCCATCTCTCCACCAAGCAGTTGTGCAGAAAAGAGGCTGTGGAGAAAGGAGGGTGTGTATTGGCTCGGACTTTGAGTAGTAATGAAGGCTTGTTGTAAATGTTATATTGTACAACAAGACAGTAAGATTTGTCTATCCATTTGTCCAACTGTAGTGCCATTATATTTCTAAAAGAAATGAATAAAGAATCAAGACTTGAATATTGTAGTAACAGACCTTTGACTACAAAACATATTTTACTGGACTGTCATACTTTTAATTTTACACTACTACAGTTTTGTTCAGAAATTGTCAATAGATGTTTTGGTAACACTTTACTTAGCCTTTATGTATAATGCATTATAAAAGTTTTGATGCATTAATTATGCCTTGTAATGCACCTTATAATGCATTTTACAATCTCATGAATAACTTTAACCACAGTTAATACACAATGGCCCAGTTTCACAGACAGGGCTTAGGTTAAGCTAGGTTTAGGCCATAGTTCAATCAGGACGTTTAAGTAGCTTTTATTAACATGCCTTAGATAATACTACTACTGGTGTGCATCTTGATACATAACAATGAAACTGACATATTTTAAATTCAGTCAGTGCAAGTTTCTTTCAGTTAAAACAGCCCAGACATGCATTTTAGTCTGGGACTAGACTTAAGCCTTGTCTATGAAACCGGGTGTATAACACTTATCAATTCATTGTTACACTATGCATTTTAAATCCGGTTATAATTATTTACGACAAGCTATTATGAATAATTATAATGCATTATACCCTTTTCAATAACCAGGGGTTCACATAAGTGGTCCGCAGGTCCGCATGCGCGACCAAAATAAGAAATGCTTTGTGTAAATTAGTTCAGAGCGCGCGTTTGCGTACTGTCATGGTTGACAGCTGTTAATGCACAATTACCATTTGAGATCGACAAACTGTACTATATAAGATTTATATTCAAACTGAAAGCATAAATCTAGGCTACCCGCTAACGTTTTCAAAGCACAATGCAAAACTGTGACATTTAATTCACTGACGCTGTACAATCGGCAGCGCTAAACCCGAAAGCGCATATACTTACTTGCCGGCAATCCGCCAAAATAAAAGCTTGCTGATTTTAAGTTTGAAAAAACAAATTAAAATAATTTAAATTAAAAATAATAATTAAGGTCCAAATTAAAATAATAATAATAATAATAAAAATATTAGCATTTTATTTTTAAGTTTACTATAAAATAATTGTATTTGTATTTAATACTCCGTTTTTATTTTAAAATACAATAGTATTATCACATTTTATTATTTAGTTTATTATTTTATTTAAAAAATCTAAATAAAGTGCAATAATATTATCACTATTATTAATTTATTTTTTATAGTTATATTTGATGGGTCACACCATGTGTCGTGTGAGGACCAAACCAAATCTCCAGCTTCTCATATGAGAACCAGGCTGAAAATCTTATGTGCACCCCTGTCAATAACCCTTTATAATGCATTATACATAAAGGTTTTAAATGGATAGTTCACCAAAAAAAATGAAAATTCTGTCATTAATTACTCACCCTCATGTCGTTCCAAACCCGTAAGACCTTCGTTCATCTTCGGAACACAAATTAAGATATTTTTGATGAAATCTGAGAGCTCTCTGACCCTCCATAGACAGCAAGGATATTACCACGATCAACGCACAGAAACGTAGCAAGGGCATCAGTAAAATAGTCCATGTGACATCAGGGGTTCAACCGTAATTTTACGAAGCTACGAGAAGCTACGCAAAGAAAACAATAATAACATAACTTATTCAAAAATTCTTCTCCCCGAGTTACCGTCTTCTGCCATTTGAGAGTACCCCAGAACATAATCAACATCATCAGCGTTGTTTACGTTCAACATGCACACGCTGTCTTCTGAATGTACACAATGCTGATTACGTTGATTACGTTCTGGGTACTCTCCAAAATGGAGGAAGACGGTAACTCGGGGAGAAGAACTGTTGAATAAATTATGTTGTTATTGTTTTCTTTTCGCACAAAAAGTTTTCTTGTAGCTTTGTAAAATTACGGTTGAACCCCTAATGTAAAAAAAAAAAAAAGATTTTTAGCATAAATCAATAAATTAGACTGCACAGTCCCTACGTCTATCTCTGCTCCCAGAATCAATAAGTTGCTGGAGCACAGCTGTGAAAGCAAATCTGAGACGTGAGAGATGTATTAAAATGACCCGTTCCGGTGACAGCATGGTGACATTGTGCTGACTCGTGTTATTTCACCCAACCCCAGTAAAATCAACACCCTTGATACACGGCCTGTCTCACCAGATGCCATTATTTACAACCAGTCCGATTTTTGCTGTCTGTTTTTCATCAGCACACTGAGTGAGCATGGTTGGAGTTTTGTACCAGAGGGATCCTTTCTGCATTACACGGTTTCAGATTTGAAAGGGTTTTCTAGATTTACACTCTGAATTCATATTGAATCTACAACGTCCTCAAGATCCATTTGTCAGCTAGTCCATTACACGGTTTCAGATTTGAAAGGGTTTTCTAGATTTACACTCCGAATTCATATTGAATCTACAACGTCCTCAAGATCCATTTGTCAGCTAGTTGATATTGGAATTGTGTAGTTATCACATTGCTAATATCTAGCATCTGCACTTGAGAATGTAGTGTTGCATCTACCTGATAAGTGTGATTGTGTTTTTGTCTCCAGGATCCTGCAGCAACGTCCACTTTGGAGGCTGAAACAGGAACGAGAGAATCAGAGTCAGTCGCCATCAACTACAAGCCCTCTCCGCTACAAGTAAAGATAGGTGAGGCACTTTGGTCTGATGCCATATCGTCACCAGTGTAATTTGTTCATTTGAGTGTAAAAACGACTGTATTGATTTTCTCACTTGATATTGTGATTGTGAAGCATACGGTTTGGAGTGAGAGCTAAGAAGCGATTAGCAGAGGCTGTGTGAAATGGATGAGCGTGGTTTTCGATAAGCAGGAGGTGTAATGAGTCTTCAAGTCTGAATGTTTCTCTCAGATAAAGTATCTACGAAGAAATTTGAAATATGAGCATAATAATTTCTGTGTAAAAAAACATCCTTATGTAATTTGTCAGGTTTCAAAAGCATCTAAATAGTCATCCATCTTTTTGAATATTAAAAAAGTTTCATTTGAAGCAATCTACTTTACTTTGTGTCACTGGTAATAATTTAATAATTAACGGAATAATTGGTTTCAAAAGCATCTAAATAGTCATCCATCTTTTTGAATATTAAAAAAGTTTTCATGCTCAGTTTCATTTGAAGCAATCTACTTTACTTTGTGTCACTGGTAATAATTTAATAATTAACGGAATAATAAAAAAATGTGTAATTTGGTATGATGCAAAATTTATACATTTATCAGTTATCAAGCATAACATTAAAATAATTATTGGTAGTCTGTTACCAACCATGCAGTGTTATTTTACATGCTATTGTAATATTTATTAATATTATCTTTTATTTTATATTTTTAATGTTTAAGTTTTATTAATGCTGTTATGTGCTTTTGTTATTTTAATTGTACGTTTTTTTTTATATTTCTATTTAGCTTTAATTTATTTTTATTTCAGTTATTTCAGTAATTTTAGCACTATTTAATTTAGTACTATTTCAGATATTTCAATTTCAGTTATTTAAATAATTTAAGTTATATAAAAGTACTATTTCAGTCATTAATTTCTTTTTTAGTTTTTCATCAAATATTTATATTTTATTTGATTGCAGTGTCATTTCAATCACTTAAAACAATTTTCAATCATTTTAGTCTTAGTTAAAAATAACAACACTGCAAACATAACATTAAAATTATAATTGGCCATCTATATTATTAAAAAAAAAAAAAAAAAAAAAAAAAAAAAAAAAAAAAAAAAAAAAAAAAAAAAAAAAAAAAAAAAAAAAAAAAAAAAAAAAAAAAAAAAAAAAAAAAAAAAATATATATATATATATAAAATTAAAAATGAGTCAATTTCCCCACAAATAACAGGAAAAAAACAACATTGCTTATTGCTCAGCCCTCTCTTCCACTGTATCTCTCTCCTATCCTGCATCTGTATCTCACATCACTCTCTGTTCAGTGTTGCTCGGTTAGGGCATCCTGAAATACAGCAGTTGCTGTTGTTAATTAAACTTCACTTTACAGTCCTCCCTCTGACAGCCTTATTACTTATAGCACCGCAGAGAAATCTCCCACACACACACACGCAGATCAGTGTGTGTAAGTCACGCAGAAGTCAAGCTCAGACTTCACGCCTGAAGAAACAGTTCTGCCGCCAGAGAACCACGCAGAATGGGGAATATTAATAAGACTGTAGTCTCAATGCATAACAAAACTTTGTGTTGCCATGGTATTTATCTGGATTCAAAAGAACTGCAGTTTATTAAATTTATGCAAGGAAGACTCAGTCTTCAGTATGCAAATGAATATGAGAATGAAGACCAATAAAAATTCCGTATGCAAATATTATGATCGCACCATCGCTGCTGGTTACATTTTGAATGCTTGAACGTTCTATCAATAGACAATATGTGATTTGTTTTGAATTTGTTCTTTCGGTAGAGAAACAGCGAGAGCTTGCGAGGAAGGGCTCGGTGAAGAATGGAACTGTGGGTAGTCCAGTCAATCAGCAGCCCAAGAAAAATAACGTTATGGCCAGAACAAGGTGAAGTAATAACTTTATTTAAAACTACTTTCTTACCAACCCACAAGTAGTTCTTAAAAGAAACATTTGTGCATGAGAAACACCATAGAATATATGTTTATGGTTCATTTAAAAAAAACTAATGTATGGCCTCATAATAATGGTTGATTTGTTTAGTACATCAAAAATATGATCAACAACATCAAATCCTATAAACAGCAGCTTTATATGAAGGCTTTCCAGTCTGTGAATGTTAATTAGTGTTAGTGCAGTCCGTATGAGGACTTCTGCCATCCCATCGGTCCCTAGTGCCCTGTCAGGATTAGCTCAAATGCGAGGACCCATCCGCAGGCCTGGTTTAGAGCACAGCTTTAGGCCTGAAGATTAGCTGCACACAGGCCTGCTTGCTTTAAAAGCCTGAGGGCCAGAGATTAACTCCAACTTTTGTCCCAGAGAGGAGGAACAAAAGATGTCTAGCACCGGCTCTGGCTAATGTAACAGGGTTTGATAATGTTAAACTCAGCCATGCCTCTTATTTATTTGATTTCCCTTGCCAGATTTGTCCTAGTGCTAGAACGATTTGGGAAAAGTGGATATTAATATTAAAGGTTAATATTTAAAAATAAAAAATGCTGCCTTTGTTTTTATTCCCTATCATCTATCTATCTATCTTATCTATCTAAAAAAAAAAGTCCGTCTATCCATCTATCCATCTATCTATCTATCTATCTATCGACATTCACATTCAAGCATAGATGTTGTACATGTTTGATTGAACTGGTCTGACAGTCTCTTCTATTTTTCTACTCTTATTACAGGTTGGTTGTCCCTAATAAAGGCTATTCATCCTTAGACCAGAGTCCAGATGAGAAGCCGCTTGTAGCACTGGACACTGACAGGTATTCACACTAAAAACGTCATTCTATTATTCTCTGGGAAGTGCTCTTGAATTCTTTTGTGAATATTTCTGAATGCTTCACTTCAAGGGAAGGATTAGAATGTATCAATTGCAGAGAAATGGAAATAAATCCTCTAATTAAAGCTTTGTGCCATTTTCCTAGCAGACGCAATGCCAGCCATCTCCATCTAAAAAGGACCTGACATTTAATCAAAATGCCAGCTAATTTTAAAGCGAGTAAAGCTGGTGCCCTTCAGACTGGCGTGAGAAACTGGCAAAGCATAAAAGATTTAAAATGAATGTGCTTTCCTGAAGGCAAAGCGAGACACTTTAGCTTTGGCAAAATGAATCAACATTTACTCTTACAAAAAAAAATGTCACTTCAGAGATTTTCTCATCCATCACAGCAGGGACCCCCATTAAATATGAACAAAATTGTCTAGAAAGGCAGAAGCAAGTGTCATTATCTGGTTCTGTTTTGCAGTATATTTCATAATGTTATCTCACGTGTTAAACTTTAGGGAGCACTTTCACTTCAAGTGGACATATTCTACACTTTTTTGCTATTTTCCCCCTTAAGTAAACATATGATATAAAAGTTTCTGAGACCAAAAATGTAATATATGTAATAATAATATATGTAAATGTAATATATGTAATGTAATATTTTTAAATAATTGATTATTACCATAATTTTTAATGATTTATTTTCACATGACCATTGTCTACCCTCTCTCTGATCCTAATAATTAAACTGGCTTTTAAAAACCTTTAATATTTACACTACCATTCAAAATTTTGAGGTCAGTATGATTTTTGTTTTTAAGAAGAAGTCTCTTATGCTCACAAATTATTATGAGAAAAATACAGTAGAAACCGTAATATTGTGAAATATTATTACAGTTTAAATTAACTGTTCTATTTCAATATATTTTAAAGTGTATTTTATTTCTGTGATGCAAAGCTGAATTTTCAGCAGCCATTACTCCAGTCTTCAGTTTCACGTGATTTTTCAGAAATCATTCTAATATGCTGATTTGTTGCTTAAGGATTTTTTAAATTATTGTTATCAGTGTTAAAAACAGCTAAATAAATGTTTTAATTTCTAAAAAATTTTTTTTGAACAATAGTGTATGCAAACATACGTACTGTGATGCATTTTCTTATTGATGTTTTCAGAAATCATTCTAATATGCTGATTTGTTGCTTAAGGATTTTTTAAATTATTGTTATCAGTGTTAAAAACAGCTAAATAAATGTTTTAATTTCAAAAAAATTTTTTTTGAACAATAGTGTATGCAAACATACGTACTGTGATGCATTTTCTTATTGATGTGTTCTGCAGATTCATTTTCCTAATTAGAATGAATTTTATTTTAAAAAGTGAGTGTAAAATACAGTTTTTTGACATTGTCCTTTTAATACGGATTAAAGGGATAGTTAACCCAAAAATGAAAATGTTGTCATCATTTACTCACCATCCACTTGTTCCAACTTGTATAAGTTTCTTTTGAACACAAAGGAAGATATTTTGAAGAATTTTGGTAACCAAACAGCTTGTTGACTTCTGCCAACATTCTTCAAAATATCTTCTTTTGTGCTCAACAGAAGAATGAAACTCATAGATGTTTGGAATGCAGAATCACCATTTACAGTATAATTCTATAGTCAGGATTTGCCTTGTCTCTAGGTTTCCTGCCCTGATAGTTGGAAAAAAGCAAGAAAACATGTTTGTTGACAGAAGTCCAAAGCACTTGAAATCATCGGTATCATTTGTGTAGCCCACACCCTTCTGTAATGAGATGTGTCACAGTATGTGTTCAGCCATAATAGCGTGGTTGCTGTTCGGTTCCGATGATCAGGCACAGCGTGCAGCGTCTCACACAGATGGGTCTCCTAACTTAATGCTTTCTGTGCTGCCAGCTGTCTGCTGGATCTCTGTGACCTCAGCTGCCCGCAGTTGTGATTAAGTCATGTTTTAGGTCACCCATCGTTCATTGTCTCTCTGGTTCTCTTTTTCCATGTCAGCCTCGCTGAGTCGCTGTATGTAACACTCATTCCCTGACATTTAGTACGTAGACCCACTGTCTGTCACATGCTCAGGCGTTCTGTCCATCACATGCTTGTACTAGTTCCTGTCATACTCATTCTTGGAGAGCATAGCTTCATTAAAACAACTTGTAATTACCGCAGCAATCAGCAGAAGGCTCCAGATTGTCGCTGTTGGTTTTTCCTGATAAATTAATTTGGCTGAAATGTCATCTTGCCATTTTTCGCTCTCTCTTGCTCTACTGTGACTAAACAAAGTCTCTTTTGTAAATATTACTAGAAACATTATAGGCGGAAACCACGTTGAAAAATAAATGAGGGAAATCAACAGTCAATATGGCAGCTATATTTGAAATACCTCAATAGATCTGTGTGCAGACTTTATTTTATGTCTTTAAGTGAGTCATTTCTTCTCGGAACTGCTGCAGAAGGGCTGATTTCATTGGTCTGTAGCTGTTTGTCTGAAATTAAGGTGCCCGTTTGTGACTGTGTACTTCCTGTTGTCTTTTAGTGATGATGACTTCGATATGTCCAGATATTCATCATCTGGATATTCCTCAGCTGAGGTAAGATGTCTAAAGGGCCAGGTACTTAAGCATTGAAATAAAGCCACTTAACTATTTGAACCCTTTGCCGTCTCATTAAAGGGATAGTTCACCCAAAAATGAAAATTTGATGTTTATCTGCTTACCCCCAGGGCATCCAAGATGTAGGTGACTTTGTTTCTTCAGTAGAACACATATGATGATTTTTAACTCCAACTGTTGCAGTCTATCAGTCGTATAATGCATGGCAATGGTAACAAAATCTATGAGAGTAAAAAAAACATGCACAGACAAATCCAAATTAAATCCTGCGGCTCGTGACGACACATTGATGTCCTAAGACACGAAACGATCGGTTTGTGCCAGAAACCGAACAGTATTTATATCATTTTTTTTACCTCTTATACACCACTATGTCCAACTGCCTTGAGCACGCGCAGGCATCCGGTGCGTGAGGTGTGTACGCGCTCTAGTGTAGTTTACGCAAGCGAAATCAATCCTAAATGTAACTGGAAGCCAGTGTAAGGACCTGAGGACTGGTGTAATATGCTCAGATTTTCTGGTTCTAGTTAGAATTCTGGCAGCAGCGTTCTGGATGAGCTGCAGCTGTCTAATGGTCTTCTTGTGAAGGCCGGTGAGGAGACCATTACAATAGTCCACCTTGCTGGTGATGAAGGCATGAACAAGTTTCTCCAAGTCTTGACTGGAAACAAAACATCTAATTCTTGCAATGTTTTTGAGATGATAGTATGCTGATTTAGTTACTGCTTTGACATGACTACTGAAACTAAGGTCTGTCTTCAGAATCACAGCAAGATTCTTGACTTGATTTTTAGTTGTTTGACCCCTAGAGTCAAGGTATGCATTAGACTTACTCTGGTCTCTACAGTACACAATTAAAATAAATTAACAGCTAATTCAGTAGCAACTTTACAGTAGCCTAAATATTTATTTTATTTTTTACATAGTTTTATTTTTTTAAATATTTCATTTTATTGTATAGTTTAGTTTAATTAAGTCATCACACATGTTTTAGTAAATTTGATTATTTTATTTTTAGAATTTTTATTTTATTTTACATTTTATTTATTTGTTTTATTTTATTTTAGTATTTTTATTTAATTTTATATTTAATTTATTTTTTTACATGTTTAATTTTTTTATATTTCATTTTATTGTATAGTTTAGTTTAGTTAGTTATTAAGTCATCACATCTTTTCTTAAGTGGCTTCGTGTAATATATTTTAAAAGTTCAGTTCACCTAAAAATTATAAAAAAAATTCAGTAACCCCAGCCTCCCTTGAACCCCGCAGTCCCAACCTTGTGGGTTATGCTCAGAGTTAGCACCCTCAGCATAGATTAACTTCTAAAGAACTTAAAAACAATAAAATGGGTGTATTGAAATTATCATAAAATAGCGAAACATAATGAATGAAAATGCACAAGTACATAACTGTCATTGGTTCCTCCTATGGTAGGACGCAAGTCTTTGTATCACTAGAGGGCGCTAGACTTAGGTGTGTACAGCTTTAAGATTCGTTGAGGTGTATATAAATGCATGGTGCAACATTAGAAGAATACAGCTGCTCAAGTAACTGAACATTTCATCCTTCTATAGAACAGTTTTCCCAACCTTTTTTGTCTTAAATATCCTCACAGTCCATCAGAAAGGGCCCCTTTACACCAAATGAGAAATGTGTTGCTTTTAACTTATATAATAGGCCTACTTACTTGAGAAAAAAATGCTTAAAGAGTAATATCTTTTGGCAGCCCTAATGATTTTATTTTATAAATCAGATTCTGTTTTATAGGTTTATAAAGCAAAATCAACATTTTGTTTTTTCCCCCTTTTTTGGGATTGACTGCTCTAGAATATCTGCTCTAGACGCTTTCTGATGTTATTAGGACAAGTGTGCTTGTTTTCTAATGAAAGGGAGTGTATAGTGATCAGGTGAATTTGTTTCTCAGATCATTTTCATTGCAAACTTACATATTAATATATTATGAGTAGCATTGTAGCAAACACTAATGAAGGGAATACTCTTAAATTGAGATATCCATACAGAAGACACTGATCTGCTACGAAACTGACAGCAGATGTAATTGTTAAGTCAGGGAAATCTCATTGAATAGTTAAGATGTGTTTACTAAGAGACTTTTTGGAACATATTTTTGTGTTTATCATTAGGAGTTGCTGCACACAAACCCAACAGACTAAGGAAATTGTAATCACTTAAATGTTAGTTTTCAAAGATAAACTAAAGATGTACCTCTACATAGGACAAACAAGATAATTCGGTACAATTTTCTGTTTCAGTGCATTTCATTTTTGAGAACTCTTTGTTTTGAGAATTGTTGCGATTTATTAGGAAGGGAAGAAAGCTTGTGTTGATGTAATAGCAGCTGCCAGATACATATCCCATAATCTCTGTCATTAAATACTATATATTTAGTTCATCTAGTTTGTGCCAAAATGCATAAAATGCGTTGTTTCTTTATTTTATAGATGGAACAGGCATGAAATGCTAATGGCCTGCATTCAAAATCAATTTTACACTTTAGTGCTCTCGTCTTTATAGTAATTTTAAAGTGCAATACCATTTTGTGAGACATTAAGTGTAGTACTCTGGAACAGGATGCTCTGCGTTTGCTGTTTTGCTTCAATTTGATGCCTTTCCTTACAAACATCTTTATAAATTCATCTCAGCTGTTTCAGTCAGTGGCCAAATCACTATCACTTCTGATAAGCAGCATTGAACACTCATAGTATGAAGGTCCTTGCATTGTTTTGAAGGTTGTACTGTTCTCTACAGTATTTGTGTCTTCTTTTTGTCATGCAACTGTTGTTTATTTTGTGCAACTTTAAAAGCACCTTATTGTCTTGCGTGTACATCCATGCTTCGGACATCACATCCTGCTCAGAGCACAAGACAGGTCGTTTTTCCACACTGAGGAAGACCTAACGTGGACTTTGGGTGAGTTCCAGTCTCAAACTAGGGCCATGTTTGGCCTAATACTGCTATAATATCTCATTACATCTATTGTACTTTTAATCCAGTTTTACACATGGCAGCAAATCTCAATATAATTCACCAAATGGAGCAAATGAAGTCTGCTGTTAGGGTTTCCTGAGAAAAATAATCTCAAATAAGAAAAAAAATAAGAAAAACATCTCTTCTCTGAAGTTTTAGATATCTCAAAAATGTCTCAAACTGTGCTCTAAATTGCCAAGATATGAAAGTGTGGAATCAAATGTTAATTTCAATATGAACTCCAATATACCCCTTTAAATTCTTTAAAAAGTCATCTGAGCTCTGCTTTCAACGTTAATTTTGTAGCTTACAATATTTCTACAAATGTGACCCTGGACCACAAAATCAGTCATAAGGGTCAAATTTGTTTTATTTGAAATTTATACATAATCTGAAAGCTGAATAAATAAGCTTTCCTTTGATGTATGGTTTGTTAGGATAGGTAAGGACAATATTTGGCTGAGATGCAACTATTTGAGGGTGCAAAAAAATCTAAATGTTGAGAAAATCGCCTTTAAAGTTGTCCAAATGAAGATCTTAGCAATGCATATTACTAATCAGAAATTAAGTTTTGATATATTTACAGTAGGAAATTTACAAAATACCTTCATGGAACATGATCTTAATATCCGGCTGGCTTTCTAACATTTACAGTTGGAGAATATACATGTGAAATGTAAGTTATGCATTCAGGAAGACAGCACATCTCAAACACATTAAATAGCGCGAGTAGCCTAGTGTCTCTGTCTGACGGGGCGAGCCGCTTAAACTAATATGCGAAACGAAACGATAAACTATGTCTTACCAGTTTTTAAAGGCCTTAATATGAAGCTTGTCACATGCTTAGAACAAATTGAATTATGCACTTTTTCCGCAGCAGCTCAGTCCAGCCCTACTATTGCTACAAATATACCCAAGCTACTTATGACTGGTTTTGTGGTCCAAGGTCACATTTATGTTTAAAGGTAATTCTGGCATTTATGCAAGATAATAGTTTATTTGAAAGAAAATGATTATTCTGTCGATCAGGGATTTGCAAACTTTACAGGCCCAGAAACTGCCAAATAAAATAACTGGATTATAAGGATTCACACACTTGGAAAAAACAGGTTTATAGTTGTTTTTAATATCCCATCTTGCATTTTTCATAGACATTTTTTTGGACTCAAATGTGGGGTGTCCGCATGACTCTTCGAACCTCGAAAGTGGCGGCACTTCTGCTGCTGTCAGTGCATCTCCTGCATGCGTCTGCCCTGCCGGCTGCATCCTCCTATGAGTTCAACGCACCCTCATGCCTGTATATGTGGTCCCAGAGGACGACCAGCTGCTCTGTATGTATGAAGAAGTCACTCAGGCTGCAGAAACTAAATCTGCTTCTGTTCTAGTGAGAGGTGAGAGGGACACTGCCGAGTACAAGCAGTCATAAAAAAAGACAAAATGATGTTACATTTTGGCTGTAATTGCTGTAGCCACTCAAATGCATTATTATGCATTACAGTATGATATATTTAGCAAAAAAAAAAAGTTATTCAAGTGATTTGATTGGTTAAAGATAAAATACAAAATAAAATTATATTAAAAAAAATGTAATTGTAGGTGCATGTGAGTGAATGACTTGCCTAATAAATAGAGGTGAGAATGACAGCTACCCACACACAGCAACTCTATCCTTTTCTGTACAACGTAATAGTGTTTGGGCTATAATTAAACCTGTCAGTCAAGTCGATTTATTACTTCATTTCAAGGGAGTACTTCCTGGAGCTGTAGAAGACCCACCCACTATTGTAATTACGGCCCATTATGACTCATTCGGTCTTGCTCCTGTAAGTCACACTCATTAATGTCCACACACACACACCCACACAGCACAACTAGATTGAAGGAACCTTTTTGAGTGTATATTAATAAATGCTTAATCATTTTTGGTTACATAATACATCACACTCCCCCCAAACATGGTTCGGAATGATTAATGTATGTTGTCAATTGGCATGGTTCACTTGCTGTGGGAACTGACCTTTTCAAACACCTTGATCAGAAATGAACATATCCACATTGCCGGCCTCTCAAAGCCCCACCAGTGAAAATTGTATTGAATTTAGTGTTGGGAACTGACCGTTGTAATTCAGAACTGCCAAAGCTTTATTCAGTGTGAAACATACAGTAGTATACCAGAATGAATGACTCATGACTCATTTTAGTGAATCAAAAACATGCAGCACAACCAGTCCAATTCCCAAAAGAATGAGTTTTATGAGTCAGTTCTTTTTAATGAATCAAAAAACATGCAGTGCAACCTATCCAATTCCTGAACAAATCATTTTATGAGCCGGTTCTTTTTAGTGAATCAAAACCAAATCAAAAAAGCGTTATCAATGTAATGTAGTATGATTTGCAACTAATGACACTTATGATTTGGTTCTTTTTTGTGAATCAGAAACATACATTGCAATCAGTCCAGTCCCCAAACTAGCTGACTAGCTAGTAAATCTATAAATAGAGCTCAACCAGTACAGTCTGATTCGGAGTGATTCCTAAACAAATGACTCTTATGAATCTGTTCTTTTTAGTGAATCACAACCAAATGAATGACACTCATAATTTTTTTTTATTGAATCATATCCATGCAGCATGACTAGTCTAGTCCAACAGATTCCATAACCAATTACTCTTTTGACTTAAAAAAAAAAAAAAAAAAATTGGAATCTGGATCATTGAATTCCATATGATTCCCATGTGTAATTGAATTTACAGTATGCTTAAATCCGGTACCTTTGATTTAAGTTCCAGTAATGATACTGTGGTAATCTTGTAATCACAGCAAAGCATTTTATTACCACTGTGTTTTATGGGTTCAGATGGTAAAATTTCCCACTGGTAATAATGAGTTTTACAGTCACCACCTGGCAGATCACATACATTGGCGCTTCATAAAGTGAAACAATTTACTTGGCTGTATGCTTAGTATATTGCTGATACTTGAGCCATCTCTTCTTTACAAAAAAAAGAATAGGGATACTTTTGATATTTTAATTCTTAAAGTACATGAGAGGGTTTTTCTTTTTCCATTTTAGTGTGTATTATGAGATTGTATGTGTGAGTGATCTGTGTATGTGTATTTAGTGGCTGGCGTATGGTGCAGACTCTAATGGCAGTGGCGTCACCGTTCTTCTCGAGCTGGTTCGACTCTTTCATCACCTCTACAGCGACCCACGAAGCCAGGCTCCGTAAGTTCTTTCTGTAGTTTATAAACTAAAATGTTTGTGTTGGGAAAATGATTTAAAAACTGGCAACATGAATACAATAGCTTGTATTACCTGATTCATATTCATCATAAGAATTTACGTTTGGATTTGTTTTTAATCAACATTTTTTAGGTACCATCTTTTATTCTCCCTGACTGGTGGTGGTAAATATAATTTCCTGGGCACCAAGCGTTGGCTGGAGGAAAATATGGACCATGCAGGTGCGTTAATTATTTTCAAAATGTATTCTTGACACGTATTTCACTCCCAAAGTCAAAACATTGTCTAAGTATCACATTCAGTCATAGATACACTCCTAAAAATAAAGATTCTTTATTGGCATCTATGGTTCCATAAAGAACCTTTAAAATCTATGGAAACTTTGCATTCAACAAAAGTTTCTTTATAGCAGAAAAAATGGTTCTTTCAAGAACTGTTCACTGAAAGGTTCTTTGGGAACCAAAAATGGGTCTTCTATCGCATCACTGCGAAAACCCCTTTTTGGAATCTTTATTTTTAAGAGTGTAAGAATTATGAGCCCTCATACAATAAAAACACCAAAGTTTGAAGTCTGGATCTCTCTTTGCAGAATCCAGCCTTTTGCATGACAACGTGGCGTTTGTTCTATGTCTGGACTCTCTTGGCACTGGAGACGAGCTTTTCTTACATGTTTCACGACCACCTAAGCCTGGAACACCTCAGTACAGCTTTATTCAGCAGCTGGAGCAGGTTAGGTTGAATTGCAGAGTTGGATTCAGTCCATGTTCTATGAAAATACTGTTTTGAACTTAAATGTTGATTGTCAGTTGACCCTCTTGTACATTTTTTTCCTTTCTGTGTTTTCAGATCATCTCTGCCAGGTTCCCCTGGATGAGATTTGGAACTGTCCATAAGAAGATCAACCTGCAGGAGGCCACCTTGGCTTGGGAGCACGAGCGCTA